AGTTAGACATTAATAATGCATTCTTGCATGTCTTTGTTGACGAGGAGATTTATATGTGGCCTTCAGAAGGATACAAACAACTTAAGGAATGAGAGGTTTGTAAACTTAAACGGTCACTCTATGGTTTAAAGCAGGCTAGTAGGCAGTGGAATTCGGAATTCTGCAAACACTTGCAACTTTATGGCTTCACACAATCAGCTGATGATAATTGTTTGTTCATTCTCCATTCAGATCGTGCTACCATAGTTCTTCTTATTTATGTGGATGATGTGCTCATCACTTGAACAGATGATAACGAAACACAACGGGTTAAGGAATTTCTGGACACTACCTTCACTATTAAGGATTTGGGATTTGCTAAATATTTCTTAGGAATAGAAATAGCACGTTGCCCAGAGGGTCTGTATCTCAACCAAAGGAAATATGCTATGGACATTATTTCTGATGCTGGTTTGATGGGTTCCAAACCTGTGGATGTCCCACTACAGAAGGGTCATAAGTTTATTGCTGAGGGTGTTTTATTTTCACAGCCTGATCAGTATAGAAGGCTTGTAGGCAAATTACTCTATCTCAATCTTACCAGACCAGATTTATCTTATGCTGTTCAGCAACTCAGTTAGTTTGTTAACTCACCCACCATTTCGCACTGGGAAGCTGCTTTACACTTGCTAAAATATGTCAAGGGAACTTTGTCAAAAGTTATTTTCTTCCCTTCTACCAACAATTTCAAGCTCGCAGCTTATTGTGATGCCGATTGGGCCTCCTGTTCAGATTCCAGGAAGTCCTTGACTGGTTATTGCATTTTTTTGGGTGGAGCTCTCGTTTCCTAGAAATCGAAGAAGCAGCAGACTATTTCACGTAGTTCTGCTGAGGCCGAGTATCGGAGTATGGCTGCCACTGTGTGTGAAATTCAGTGGATCACTTATCTTCTACGGGATTTTTGTATTGCTCCAATTCTTCCAGTTCCTTTATGGTGTGACAATCAGGCCGCTATCCATATTAGCGCTAATCCAGTCTTCCATGAACGGACGAAACATCTAGAAATCGATTGTCTTGTGGTTCGTAATCAGTACAAAGCTGGTCTCATTCATCCCCAACACATTTCTTCCAAGAATCAAGCTGCGGACATCTTTACTAAGCCTCTTCCATTTCCACAATTCAGGTTCTTATTGTCCAAGTTGGGTTTGATGGACTTTCATCAATCTCCAACTTGAGGGGGGGGATGTGAATATTATTCCTAAGGGACTTAATTGTTCATCTTCCATAGCTTAGGTCCTTCTTTGTAATAAGTATAGTTTTTGGTTTTAGTTCGGTTTAAGTTTGTTTTGATTTTTCCCCCTTTCACTCGGTCTATAAATAGACCTCCATTGTTGTACTTTGGGTAGAGCATATATGAATAAAATTGTCAATTCCATTTGCTCGAACACATTGTGCACAAAAATGACCATATAATTAATTCTACAATTGTCCAATCAATGTAATTCCAAGTCCCATGGATAGAAAACTCATCAGACTTTTAAACACAATTTATTTGAACTAGAAACTCGAAATAAACACTTCAGGGTGACGTTCCGAAGTCATGTTAGTATGCTACAAATGCTAAACAACTTCCCTGGTACCACCACGCCTTCATACATGACCTTGTTGAAATTATTGTTCAAAATTAATAAAATTGGATTTGGAATGACAAATGAATTTGGAGGCCAAAAGTATATATTATGCGACCTCATAGTTCGTTTGGAATGCGGTCGCGTATAGACCTGCAGGGATTTCAAGCCTTGCAAATGATTGTTCTATGCGACCACATAAGGTTCTATGCGGTCGCATGGAACAAAAAAGTAGTCGTTGGACGGGCTTTTTTGTTTGAATTTGTTGCGACTTCTGGTGAAAAGTTTGCAACTTTTCATGGATTTTTGGTGCCATTTCGTGGGTATTGATGGAGAGCTATAAATAGATTTCTTGTGATCAATACCAAACACATTGAAAATACTATAGAAATCCATTGAAATCATATTCTATTCCAAATGTGAAACAAAAAAATACTCTTCTATCATATTCAAAATTCCTTTGTATTCTTGAAGTTTTGGTAAAAAACACTAAGTGTTTAAATGTTTTTCTATTACCAGGCTTGATAAATCCTACAAATCATTTGCCAAAAAAGCCTTTAAGCACCAAAATTCAATCCTAGAGGAGGCAAATATCGTTTAACAACGATATCATTTTTCGTGTTTGAGCCTATTTTTGTTGTTCTTTGAAATTCTTGATTACATTCTTTGGTTTCTTCTTCAACCTCTTTAAGTGGAAGTAATATTTTTAAACAGACCTGAAGTGAACTTAACCTGTGAAGGAAAGGAAAAGCGATGAGTTTTGAGAAACTTAATAGGAATACGATCCTAGTTGTGCAATCCCAAATAGAAGGAATTAATTCACACGCCAAACATTCATAACGTCCTTTTTTGAATTAAAAAACTCTATCAACGATCAAGTTTTCTTTATCAAATATAACCAGTGATTATGGCTATACAAAAGAAAAAATATTCTTAACCGGAAGACCGTAGACTAAACTCGTGAGAAAATTCTTAAGTATGACATTGTTGATACTGTAAATGTAGCAAACTAGAAAGGAAGAGATAAAGGGGCTGGGGTTTCATACAGCCAACCAAACTTGTCTTGCAAAAGTGAGAATGAAAAGATTTAAATTGTCTTATAAGTCAAATGTCTAAACTATCCTAACCAAAGAAGTGAAATGACAATTATATGCTTTTAGCATTATAACATAAGTGCAGACACTAACTAATTATGAAACATGCTCCCACAAACTCACAGTAGGACAACAAGAAGTAGCGAGGATTTGTTAATCAAAAAATGAAAACACAAAATGGGTGCGACTTCATAAAAAGGTTAGCAAGTCGAATCAAAGAAACAAAAGGTCGAGGAACAGTGCCATACTGAAGTTGATGACAAATGAGATGGTGATCAATTTCAATGTACTTCGTCCACTCATACTACACGAAGTTTTGGATTACTTGAATAGCAATATTATTAGTAGAATATATAGGAGTCGGAGGGGAAGGACTAGCACCCATAGCTGTATGTGACCAATACAGACATAAAATTCTAGTGGTAGTGGGAAACAGCCGTTTTGGTTCTTACTCTTCCAAGAGATTAGAAAATCACAAAAAAAATACAAAAATACAAATACTAGTGATAAATTTATATCAGTTGCGTTACTAACCCAATCATCATTAGAGTACGCACGTAGCTCTAAAGACGAGGTCAACAAAAATAAAAGACTCTAGAAGCAAGTTCGAAGAAACAGTGCAAAATACAAACAACATCAATCCAATGAACAAATACCAAACATTGGTCTTGAGAAGAGTATCAATAACTCGAGTAACAATAAGATGAGCACGCTCCATGACGTCTGCGACATAGTTAGATTAAGATAGAAGATAACTCTAAGGAGCATAAGCAACCTCTATGTCCAAGCAGTAACGAAGAGGGTTCAAGTCCCTCATTAAAAATTGAAGAGCTAATTCGACTTAATGAAAACAATCCCATCAAAATGATCATCAATAATAATCACATCATCAACATAGGAAAAAGGAATAACGTGACCTATTGAGGTGTACTGAACAAATAGAGGCCTACATTTTTTTATAGGCAGGATTAAAACAAGAGTAACCTTTTGTCCCTCACCATAACCAAAAAACACACAAACGATAGAGCGTGAAGTAAACTTGCTATGCTGTTGTACCTTAGGATGAAGAAGATGGAATTTTAATGATTAAATGAACAATATTAAGGATTTCCTCATCTTGAATTCACAAGGAATTTTGGTAGACAATAGGAGAAAACGAGAAATTTCAGCTATATGCATATGTTTTCTTTCAATAACACCTTGTCTTTTGGGTATCAGTACAAGTGGTTTAATGTACAGTTCACTCAGAAGCAAGCAAGTCAAAATCCGATAGGCCATTTCCATTATCTTCAAAGGAGACTCCTCAAATAAGTTTTTAGGACTATGACTTGCCTCTTTGAATAGATTTCACTTAAATCTTTCCTTCCGGTGATTAAATAATACAATCATGTCACGTGTATATTTTTCTTAACATCATTTTGACACTGTGTCATGTGACGACAAATGATTGTACCGATTAAAAAAATACACACTTTTCCGCCCAGCACTTTCTGAATTCTCACACAACATATAACAAGATGTAATCCATGAAATGTACATTATTTTAAATAATAATATAACCTTTACTTTTATAGCGAATGTCCACCCATGAAGGCTAAATGAAATGATTTTTGAGAATATTGGTTCCTCTCAGGACTTGTTTTGCAACAATTTTCTCTGTTTCGATGCCTACTTCTATTGTCAACCTTCTCTTCGACCATATCCTAAGCTACTTTCATTCATTGAGATAAAAGAAGGCCTATTACGTGATTCGTCCAATTGAACCTTCTCCTTCAGTCGGAAGGCAAGCCGCTTAATAAATATATAGGCACAAATAAAAAAAGTAAAAAATTAAGAAGGCATCTGATCATTTAAGCAACTGAGCAGTAAGGTACTAATTTGCAATCAATCATGCTACTTGTACATTCTTATTTATATATTGGTTTATTAAATTTACACTAGACTTGATCTCACACTATATTTCATAACAAACACAGATAAATCAGTCGTTCATTTTCAACCACATAATCTTTTGTACACAAGATGTATACATTTTCTGTATAAATGACCATCCATTTGCAATTGTCTCGATTCTTCCACGTTTTGATTTTGGTTTAAAATATGTTTTGATTCATCCCAAAGGACACGTTGAACCGTTGATTTCGACGGTAAAATAAAGTAAACTATTCGTAGTACGGAAAGAGAAAGTAAAGTTTATTCGGGTGATAATATAAACAATTCAACTCTCATTATAAATGGAACCTCTCGATCACTAATCACCTTTCTATTATTCGCAAGTAAAACACACACTAATACGTGAATGGCAGCCAATTTACAGAGCCGGAGACTGGCGAGCTTCGCTAAGCGATTTCTCAGCCAGATAACTCCTTCTAATTCCCTTCTGATTCCTTCATATTCTCTCACCAGGTATCGTGTTGTAAAAAAATGCTATGGTTTATGCGTATCAGTGAATGTGAAAATTTCCTAGGAATTCACAAATGGTTTAGGTTACTCGGAGTAATTTTTCCCCATTAATAGCTTCAATTTTATCATTTTCATGTCAAATTTTCTTTAATAAGTTAAGCTTTATTAATTAGAGTTCAGTTTTCACTGGATTTTGGCAGAATTAATATGATTTTTTTCAATTTTGTTTTTCCGAACATTCGGATATTTCCTGTAGTTTCAACTAAAATATGTTAAAATATTCCTTTCTTAATGGTTAGGTTAATATTATTTTGGATAAGGACTGCTATTTCAATGAGATTCTAAATATTTTTATACTACTGATTTTTCCTTTTTTCTTTTATTATGTAGGGAAAACTATTTTAATCAATTGAGTTATAAGATTTAGAAATTTAGATCTGGTTTTGCTTGGTAAGGGTTTTAATGTGTCGGTTTGCTATTGGTTAAGTCTGCAAAAATCTGGATTAAGGCCATTCCCTGGTACAAAATACAATTAAGCCGGCGCTTTGTTTGTAATGTACTGCTAATTAAATAAGCACCTATTGTACTACAGAAATCTTACACTAGTTGGGGATCTAAGATCTTTGGTAAATTGGTTAGTAGGTGCATATCCGTCCTTATACATAAATTGTAAATTAGGTGTGACTTATGGCTCATATCAACTGAAATGAAAAGCTTTTAGCACTCTTACATTCCACTGACTACATTTTTGTTTATCTATTCCTACTTGGCTTCTCAGGTTTAAGGCCATCTTCTTTAGCGATGCAGCTGTCAAAATTATGCTAATAAATAGTGTTCAAAATTGTACATTCGAAATCTATTCTATAGTTATGAATTTGATGGACGTCAAGTGTTGATCAAATCTGTTATCTAATTTGGATTCCTAGTAAGCAATGAAGATAAAAGGGAATAATAGAATGATCAATATTACAAATGTGTTTGTGAAACAGAGTATTAACACGAGTTAACATGCAAGCCTCTATGCTCTAAATACTTTTATGGAAACAAAACTATATAAAGAAATCAATTAGCTGTTCAATTATAAGTGAGAAAGCAAATGGTGGAGAGTAAGATATACAGTAAGAGATTCAAGCAACAAAAAAGGCTAAGACAAGTTATTATCTTTAATACTTCCATTCTTGAAACTTATATTAAACCTATTTAATTGTTGTTATTTTCTATGGGTTTGCTTCCCTTACCTCTAACATCATTGGTGGAAAGCATGGAGGATTTTTGTGTTATTTTCCTTATTAATTAGATAAATCTGGTTGCCAAGGACTGATCACTGCTTACCAAATAGACCAAATTCCTTGAAATGCGATGACACCAATTCGTATTTGCACTTGCGGTTGGAGTACGCTGTTTAGGTTTTATGTACGTAATTCTACAAAAAGGGGACAGACGACTGAAAGTTGAGTGAAGTGGGGCACATTTATTTCGTTGATATCTGATTACTGCCTTTTCTTTGATTACAAAGTGATGTCAATTCATTTATATATTTGTGTTTTGTTCTTATTATTTGCATGTTGCCTTGATATCAGATTTGTGATGTAAAAATTTATCCCGATTTGCAGGAGTGTGCATGTTTCTGTGTACGACAAGAATGTTGAGGAGAATGTAGTTGAGGAGAATGTCCAACCAACTGTAGTCCCGGATGATGTAATCTCACCTCTATCTGACGAATACTGGGAACCTCACCCTGAAACCGGGGTGTTTGGCCCTGCAACTGATGGTGATAAACCAGCTATAGATGGGGAACCTCTGAAAGCTAATGGTGATTCAGTGTTGGAGGAAAAGGCCTTTTTCCGTCCTCTCGAGGATTTGGAGATACCACCCCCTGAGTTGCAGGGGGAAACTGAAGTCGGTTCTACAATAGATAAGGCTTAATGTAATGTACTGAATGTTAACAAGTTCAGTGCAGCAGAATAGTGCTACCTGCTATAATGTTGTTAATAGTTGCTTGTAATGTGATGCTTTTGTTATCTAACTAGTGGTTTACTTTTTCGCGGACATAGTTTTGGCATCTTTCTTTGCTATGGAAATACATGTTTTGATAATTTTGTTGTGGGGATTGGTTTCCAAATTGAGTTGATTATCCTGCATCTATATGTAAATGTGAAGTGGGAGATTAAGAAACTTAGAACTAGATCTTGTTTGCCCTATGGCTATCTGGTCTCAAACCGTGTCCAGAGTTTTGGTCACAAGGAGAAGATTTATTTACCTATATGTACTGTTAGTTCATGTGATTGATATGCATTTTGTTTACTGGAGAAAAATGCCACATCAACCAGCCTTGTCAACGTTGTAAACATAATAATTAAATTGAGATGATGTTGCTTGGAAAATAACCTATCTGGAGAAGAAATCTAATTTGAATAAAAAAGATTTCCCTTTTTTTTATTTTTTAAATAGGTAATTTCTGCATCCTTTTTAACCTTTCATGTGTATGATAATTGTAATTGGAGAATCTTTATCTTCAGTCATGGATTGATTTTGTCTAATGATTTCCTGAATTTCAGACCAAAACAATTGTTACACCTCAAATTTGTGTGGGAGCCATGTAATCGTCACCTAAGAGGTAGGTGTCACATGGGCGTGAACTTTTCGCTTTCTTGCCACGCTCATTGCCCAATTTTGGCATTATAGGCCATTAAAATCGATCTTCCACCTAGCCATGAAAATTAGTATTGTGAAAGAGTCTCGTGAATGTTCAGAGAAATTAACAAGAAGCGCAAGCCGATTACGTGAATGCATTTCCTATGGCCGTCCCTTGCAAGGCGTAAAGGGACAACATAATGATGGGGACAAGTTGGGCACCAATGGGTATTTAGGAAGCAACGTATTCCCAGCGGAATATCAACGCTAGTCCTGGTGAAGAAAAGCACCAGCAAGTGGCGAACGTGTCTACTTTTCAAATGTTAACACTGCATGCCTTAAGGGATAAGTTTGCCCCTCTCTCGGTTAGTTTCAGGAATACCTATTTAGGATACAATCAAAACTCCATGTACGGTGCTAGGCAAAGAGCATGCCTCTTTCTTTACAAAATTGGAATTGTATTGTTACAAAGTCTTGCTCTAGCGTTGCATCCAAGAAGTTCCTTAACCAGCAAGGCGTAGAGGCGAACTTGGAGCAGATCAAAGTACTTATTAACACGTGGCCTTAAGGGTGACAGACATTAACTACCCTTTCTTTCAAACTATCAAAGAACGGAGGAAATTCGAATTGTCCTAACACTAGGAATGCCTTAGCAAGGATCCCCTCATGTCCAAACCCATATAAGGAGAGACCCTCATTCTATATCTAGGCGTGCCTCGCATGAGCGTTTAGCTCATGTGTAATTACGGAAGAAAATACACAACTACCAATTAAAAGGGGTAAATTCTATTAGTGGTAACTATATTTAACTCTAATGTCAATAAGGTACCTGTACTTTAATATTATTCAATTGGGTAACTCCACTTTAATTTGATTTCAATTAAGATAATTTCCAACGAAATTGATGACATAATTATCAGCAAATGATGGTTATTATTACAGGCAAGAATAATTAAGGTCCACTAGGATCTACATCAGCCATAAAAGGGCCCCATTGCAAGCCCACTTCTCTTTGAATATTCGCACTGCGGCCACTAAGGCTCAATTGAGGCGAATAATACCTTGATCGTAGAGGCATCATTTAGCAATGTAAAGCACAGAACCCAAGCACTTGGCGAATAATTCAATGGGAAAAAATCATATTTAAGGTGTTTTCTTTACCTCAATTCAAAAATAAGGTAAATAGTTTAAAAATTCAAAAATCAGGTATTTATTTAATTAATTAAAAATATTTATTAAATAAAGATAAAAAAGTCACATTTTGTGATTAATGGTCACATATTCATAATTTTTATGTAATCGTCACCTAAGAGGTAGGGGTCACATGGGCGTGAACTTTTCGCTTTCTTGCCACGCTCATTGCCCAATTTTGGCATTATAGGCCATTAAAATCGATCTTCCACCTAGCCATGAAAATTCATATTGTGAAAGAGTCTCGTGAATGTTCAGGGAAATTAACAAGAAGCGCGAGGCGTGAATGCATTTCCTATGGCCGTCCCTTGCAAGGAGTAAAGGGACAACATAATGATGGGGACAAGTTTGGGCACCAATGGGTATTTAGGAAGCAACGTATTTCCAGCGGGGTATCAACGAGTCCTGATGAAGAAAAGCACCAGCAAGTGGCGAACGTGTCTACTTTTCAAATGTTAACACTGCATACCTAAGGGATAAGTTTTCCCCTCTCTCGGATTCACTAGCTTGTCGATGCAATCTTTGATCACGATCTAATTAGTTTCATGAATGCCTATTTAGGATACAATCAAAACTCCATGTACGGTGCTAGGCAAAGAGCATGCATCTTTCTTTACAAAATTGGAATTGTATTGTTACAAAGTCTTGCTCTAGCGTTGCATCCAAGAAGTTCCTTAACCAGCAAGGCGTAGAGGCGAACTTGGAGCAGATCAAAGTACTTATTAACACGTGACATTAACTACCCTTTCTTTCAAACTATCAAAGAATGGAGGAAACTCGAATTGACAGGAGTGTCATCTCTCCTTCCTAACACTAGGAATGCCTTAGCAAGGATCCCCTCATGTCCAAACCCATATAAGGAGAGACCCTCATTCTATATCTAGGCGTGCCTCGCATGAGCGTTTAGTTCATGTGTAATTACGGAAGAAAATACACGACTACCAATTAACAGGGGTAAATTCTATTAGTGGTAACTATATTTAACTCTAATGTCAATAAGGTACCTGTACTTTAATATTATTCAATTGGGTAACTCCACTTTAATTTGATTTCAATTAAGATAATTTCCGACGAAATTGATGACATAATTATCAGCAAATGATGGTTATTATTACAGGCAAGAATAATTAAGGTCCACTAGGATCTACGTAAGCCACAAAAGGGCCCCATTGCAAGCCCACTTCTCTTTGAATATTCGCACTGCGGCCACTAAAGCTCAATTGAGGCGAATAATACCTTGATCGTAGAAGCATCATTTAGCAATGTAAAGCACAGAACCCAAGCACTTGGCGAATAATTCAATTAATGGTCTCGATTACCAAAAGGTCCAAAGGCCTCCGACTATATAAAAAATAGATTTTAATGCAATAAACTCATGCGTTCACACAATATATTGCTTGACAAAGATTACAAAAGTGCAAATCTCTACAAGAATTTTGAAAATTGGACTTAATTATGACGTTCAACAAAAAGCCCCTAAAATCGTCTATAAATAGGGCCATTTACACAATTAAAAAAGAGTTGAAACTAAGATCCAATCTTCCAGTCCCTAAAAAAGTCGTCTCGGATCAAGGCAATGTTAAAGATTAACAATTGTGGAAATCTTAACATTCTCATAATAAAGGGCACTTTCAAGCCAAAATAAAACCTTGCAAAAATTCCAATAGAAAACTTTGGAATTGGCTTTATAAAATAATTTCTATTTTTAAGGTGATTAAACATTTTGGCACCATTTGTGGGAATACGCAGAAGAACCATGAGAAGAACACACGTGAGGAACATAAAATGTTAGAATATATGGATCTGATAGTGATGAGATTGAATTTCCATTCACCCCAATGGAAAAGAAAGCTTGGAAAAGACGAATTTGGAGGTTGTCAAGAAGAATGGTCCAATTAACTCAAACGGTGGCCAACATGGCTATCAATCTACAACTTGTGAATGCCCTACGTGGAAATTCTTGATGCACTAGAGCCATGCATTTTTTCCTCCTAGAGAATGTAGAAGCGGGGGTAGAGTTGAAGGCTCGTGCGAAGTCAGTGTGCACCGGGATACTCCCTACAATTATCTGACCCATCTGTTCACCCTTCGCGCAAGGTAAGCCAATTGTTCCATCATGAGTGGGGACAGAGACCTCTTAGGTCCATCTGAAGTTTTAATAACTTGGACGCATTAAAGTTGTCCATTCAAGGGGAGAGAGACAAAAACAAGGAAAAGAGGATGAACAATAGGATATAGCTAAAAATGAACAAGGAAAAAAGGCCAATATTGGGCCGAAGGATCATAAGACATACCAAGCCTTGATATCACTATCATGCTGCCGAAGAGTATGCAATACTCCCGAGTGAGTCATATGAGGAGGGTTCAAATTGGTATATGGGTGACGCTCTTCGACTAAGTATTGCAAATACCACTAAACATATGACCATGATGCCGCTGAATGCAAAAGCATAATGGTAAAAATGCAATGTATTATATCGTAAAGGAAACCATTTGCTTATGAGAAGCGACAGAATAGAGGTCTCACAGACCCACTAACGATAAAGGCCTTTTCATAGCCTCGGAAGTAAGGGGCAAGAAAAAAATCTAACCCTATGAAAGATTGAGGCAGAAACTTGCTTTGTAAGCATTTTTCACTTACTTTTTTAGCCATCTATTTTTCGACTAAGCAATTTATTATAATTGTTTGATCAATATGTCTATAACGCAAAAATTTCTTGAGCTCTTTCCACTGCATTTTAAGTGTCCTGTTTAGCAATTAATGAAATAATTTCTTGGGGTGCATTATATTGGGTTTTAATTTGTCAAGTTGGTGGGTCTACATATGTAATTAATTGTGTATTAAAAGTTATCTTAAGGTTAAACCCATTTAAAGTAGTCTAATGAATATTAAAGTTATTGAGCTTCGAGCATCTAATATGGTATGGGTTTAATTACTGTAGAGCAAAATACTCCAAGTTGCACCAAGAAAACCGGGCTCGGTATTGTTGAACACAACAATTAACCGACCAAGATCACAAACCAACACTCCAAAACCGGTTGCTCCAACAAAATCAGCCACAAAGGACTTGAGGATGAAAAAGGATTGAAACTTAGATATA